AAAGAATTGAAATATTCAGAATTTATTATTAGTTTTTACTTCATTTTTAATCTTCTTAAAAACATAAGCTGAGGTCCAACCTGGCAGGCTAAGTTTTCAAACAAATTAGAAAAAAAAAAACTAGAAGATTAAAATAAATAATTATTCACCATAATTATATATCATCTATCACTTCATCCAATTTTTTACAATTAATTCAAATTAAATATACTTTTTTTCGGCGTACCAATTTATTACATCAGTTGATTAAAAAGAAGCATTGGTATTTTTAAATCTATATATGAAAAATTTGAATTTCTAATAAAATTTTGATTAAGCCTTATATTTGCAATATACGTATAATTCATATGGCAGATATGGCAGTGGCTACGCTCCTGATACATAATTTATAATATTGTGCAAAACTGTATAAAATAATAAAACATGAAACTTTTAAGAATAGTTAATTGACATTATATATTATTGATAATTTGTACAAATATATTATTTACATGTTTATATATGTATAAATATTGAAATTATTTGTTCGTAATACAGTGTAATCTCACTAAATCCAGCACTATTATAAACCAAAAGGTGATTATTGGAATGTTTGGATTACTGGATTGTAGTAAAGAAGTCCTAAGGGTGCAACAAATAAAATAATGCATTTTATTGGGCAGTTGTCTCTAGAGCAGACCGCTCTCATCTGCATTTCAAATTTTGTCAGAAAGAAGACCCAATTCTTATATTTTGTTTTTATATTGCTGGGAAATAGCTGAACTTCTCATCTCATTTGATATGACAATAGTCAGATACCAAATTTTTTATAAAATTTAAAAAATGGCGAAGTGCTGAATTAGTGAAAGTACACTATATATATAATGCTCTTATATATAATTTACTTCTTACGTATTGCATGTGAAATGAGATCGTCAAATTATAAAATCGTATATATTAAATTTATATCAATAAAATGCTCTGTCTATTAAGTTTAATTATATTAAATATTTTATTACTTAACTAATAACACAACCTGAATTTTCATTGCTTTCATGATTTGCAACATCAACTTCATTTAATTGGATGTATTACTATCACATGCAACCATATTACCATTCTCGCATAAATGGGAATTATTAAAACTATTTTGAGTATGTATACTTTTATTTGAATTTTTTACTGTTCCTTGACTACCATGTATGGAATTTGTGACATCTGTATGGCTAATGCAAGATTGAGATTTTGGAGATGTATTTAAAACTTTCCTCACATTTTCTAAAATATAATATTACAATTATTGCACATTATTAAAATCCTAGTACCTCAAGAAAAAGTAAATGAATTAATTAATTTATATTACCTCCTGTGCTACTTGTGTTCTGTTCATTTATTGCTATTAGATCTTTGCTTATACAAGAAATTGCTTTATCAACATTAACAGATTTCTGTTGAGTTTTAACAGACAACAACCGATTCAACACAGAAATTTGGTTTTGTATTGCTAATATGAAGGGAACATAACCAAGACATTCAGATTGCGCCCATTGACAAATGCTACAAATAATAAATCATATTAAATATAAATACTCATACAATTAATGCACAAAAAAAACATTACCTATTGAGTCCATCTCGAAGTCTACAAACATTTTCAATACTTTGTTCATTAGATTTTGCAGCACTAGAAGTTCTTAAAACTGCCATTGCATCTTGCAAAATCACTGCTATAATTAAAGCCCATTCCAAGCAACCTGCTTCCATAAACATTTGCAATAAATACCTTCAGAAAAGAAAAACAATTTCAAACAATTATTTATATTATTTGAAACAATCTACCTAACAACAAAATAATTTTACCTAAGTTGGACCTCTGCTTTGGACTTCCTTTTTTATGTGTTTGATTAGATATTGATTCTAATACTGTATTATAGCACATCTCCACATCAGGTGATTGCAATGATATATCCTCAGTCATATGAGACATCTAAATACAAGTTTTAGCAATAGAGATGAAATAACTAGTCGTGAGTAGCATTTTGCCTTTTGCCCGATACATATACATAATCACTCACATACACACACACATTACGTTAACTGATTCATGATTACCTGTTCACTACATATACTTGAAAAGTCCTGTGAAACAAGTTTAGCTTCAATATTATTTATTTTTTGATTAGAATAAGAATTGCTAGCGTCGTTGTAATTATTTGCTATATGTTGTGGTGAAACCACCATGGCACTAATTGTTTCTTGACTATTTACAGGCGTAGAAACACCTGCAAAAAGTAAAATGTTGTAATTCCAATTATATATTGCTGTTATAATTACATGGTTCAAAAACAATATTAGATTTATCATCAATGTTGAAAATTGAGAGTAGAAATATTTAAAACTGCATACCAGTGGTATGAAAACCTCCGGAGTAGCTCATGTATCCACTATCACCTTCAATTTTGCCATGATTCTGAATCATTGATAAGGAAGTGGGTCTATTAACTACAGAGTTTGATGAGCATTCGGATTGAATATCTTAGTCTCCATTTTATAACCAGGTACATTGGATTGAGTTTGTAAAACATTTTTTGATACTGCTGAAATTAAATGAATAGAAAATGTTGATTATTAAATCTAATTTCAACTTATTAGCTCATTTTCAATTTATTAAGGATCAATTTCTAACAAATTAATATTATTTACTATGCATTACAAACTGATTTTTTTATTCTCCTGTGTTAGAATATAAATAGAAATTGAGAAAAAGCTTATTTATTTACTATTTTTATTAATATACCAGTATTTTTGCTTATATCATGCTCTGGTTTGGGCCAGTCAAATTCATCATGTAAACTTTTAAGAGCTGTGATGAACAATCAACGCGAGCTGCTCGATCGCGCTCTTTATTTAGCCATCGAACTAGAGGAAGATCCAAAAAAGCTGATAGTTGCCCAAGTTGAGTGAGTTCTCTACAACTTAGAAGTCTTCGAGCATGTCTTTGAAGAATCAGATCTATAAAGAAATGTTCAGCAGAAGATGCACTATCCCTAAAATTAAGTGATTTCATTAACTCTCATAATATACGTATACATTTTTAAATATTGTTCTTGTTACTTGTTTTCATTCTTCATACTGCTAGTGGATTTCTTCCTTTGAGTATTTTCAGTAATAATAGAACTACTGGAAACTGGAATAGTTGTTTTCGTTGAAACATTTTGTTTCTTTAAAGACACTGCTCCAGGCGATATCATTTGTTTCTGCGTTGTAGGAAAGTTAGCATTAATTCCTTCAATTTGGGCTTTTGGAGATAAAGTTGTACTGAAACTACGGCCTCGAGCAACCTAAGACCAATGGAAAAAATAAGCAAATAATACAGGAACAGAATAAAGTTCATGATCTGAACATAAATATTAGGCATGTTAGAGTATAGACATAAATGCATACACGTCCCATGTATTTCTTAAATTTCATACCTGCATAGATCCAAGAATAAGTGATAATTCTTCAGCATTTGGTATTACTGGAGGAGACTGTTGACCCAGTCCTAATTTATTGGGAATAATAAATGATGTCCTGGGTGATTCTATGTCATTAGGATCTGAAATATGAAAATTAATTTAACTGTTTTAAAATAGTAACTGAATTAGATTTAAACTTAATATTTATTATTAACTCCAAATAATTAATGGTTTAAATTCTTATAACAAATTTATTTCCTGCAAAAGGGAATAAAATGTTATACATATACACATTGCCAAACCAGCAATAAGCATTAAAGCATTAAAATAAAATACAAAGAGTTTAATATTACCTATGGCCCTTAAAAACCGTACTAGATCCCTTGACAACTCCCATTTAGATTTTTCTAAAGCTGTGTCCAACAAAAGGGTAGCAAACTGACGACTAACGGATGATGGTTCAAGATTCTACAAATTATTAGCATTGAGTGCAAGTTCACAGAACTAAAATAGAAATATGCACATAATATACCTGTAAAATAATAAGATAAGAAGCAGCAGTATCAAGCTGTTGTTTAGCCAAACATTGCTTAAATAATTCTTTGGGCTTCCCGGCTACACTAAATAAGCAAGGCCAAAGCGCTATTTTTTCCGTTTTTCGTGCACATTGAACAACCGTCTGAGAAAACAATTTACAGTTATCACACAGTGGACTAAACTCGGATTGAGAACTTTATTTATTGAAAATAAATGTAGTTTATACTCAGAATAGCTTTGACATCAATCAACAACCTGCAAATAAACTGGAAATTCTTGAATAAACTCGATGATACTGGGAAGCTGGGCATCTGGAAGGGTTCCTTACAAGTTGCTTCTTCTTCTAAAACCTAATTTGGAACAAAAATTAATTTAAATGTGAAAATTTGCTTAATAACACACATGAATGTATATATATATATATATATATATCTATATATATATATATATATTGAATGGTAGAGTCTTGGATTTGTGTATATATTTGTAGAGTTTCGAACAAGAATCCAAAAATAATACAAAATAAAAAACAAGAAATTTTTTAAAAAAAACAATTTCTTTATTTAATTATTTTTGTTATTGTCGACGTTTCGGAACTAGGTACGTTCCATCTTCAGGACATCTGTCAAGAAACATGATCTTGATGAGATTTTAGCAAACAATATGTTTAGGAAAAGAAAATTTTCGTTAAAAAAGCTTGTTTAGTGAAAAAGTGCTAACAAATATTCAAACATACAGGTAATTAATTCAACTTTGTCATTAACCTTTTCTTAAAAAATTTCCATAACTTTCAAAAAAATTTCTATTATGTTTAATATCCTGTTCTGATAATCCACTCATTTATTTTTATCATTTTTATTTTGAACATATTATCATATTTCTGTACATTATTATATATTTTTTACAATTAATTCATATTTTTAATAAATAAAGAATCTATTTTTTTCTTTCTTGTTCTAAATTTCAATCAGATCATGTTTCTTGACAGATGTCCTGAAGATGGAACGTACCTAGTTCCGAAACGTCGACAATAAACAAATATTAAATAAAGAAATTGTTTTTTTAAAACTTTTCTTGTTTTTTATTTTGTATTATTTTTGGATTCTTGTTCGAAACTCTACAAAATATATATATATATATATATATATATATATATCTTCTATATATATAAAATAAGTCTGGTTTTCCTTCCTGACGAAATAACTCCAGAACGCACGAACCGATTTCGACAATTTTGCATTCGTTGGAAAGGTCTCGGGCTCCGAAAGGTTTATAGCTAAGAAAATTAGTTGTGCATGGCATCGTGCCTTAATGCAAGCTGCTGGAACTTCACGCACCGTAATTAAAATTCGAGTAATGACATTAGTGAGAATTATCAGAATTATGCTTGGTTAAGTCAACGAGCACTTCTTGCCGCAAAGAATAATGATGTACACGCCCTGAATTTCACCATTCAATCAAAATTGCTGGCGATTTGGTGACATACCAATGATTCTGACTGGTCTTCCGTTTGACTTCAACGATTGCACAATTTCCAGTTCGCCTTGCATTCGCAATAACAAGTCGCAAGGCCAATCGCTTAGTGTTTGCGGGATAAATTTCAAATAGATTATTTAGAAAATCATTGTTTTTCACATGAGTTATACGTTGCCTGTTCACGAGTTGGAAAACCATCCGCTTTGTTTGTGTTAACGTCAGACCAAATAACAAAAATTTGGTTTACCAAAGAGCACTTCAATGAAACGGATAATTTGCGGATTCACTTTCATTTACTTAGAGAAGTTTAACTAAAAAACACTTCATTTTTGTAATCAAATAAATTCGTTACTGTTGTATAATAAAACAAATTTTTCCTTTTAAAATATAACACAAACAAAAAATTTCTTCATCTTTCTCATCTCGTCGGGTTTGCTAGTATATATATATATATATATGTTTAATATCATAGTATTTTTATTTTTTATTTCATATCATACCTCATGCAGAAGTAATTCCAATGAATGTGGAAAGTAAGGAAGATTTGTACAACTGATTGCAATCTCGTATGCGTGATATCCTAAATTCCTACGTATTAATTGACGAAGTATTTGGTGAAGATATACTTGACTCTGAAAATATAATAATTTTAGATTCTTCTAATAATAACTAATGACTAAAATCATAATAAACCATACAGTTCTTTCCAAAACGCAGAATGGTAATGAGAATTCGGAATTAGAGTCTGACGTGTAAAGAGTTGTATCATTCTCTGCGCCTAGTATTATAGCATCTTCGAATAAAATAGCTGTAAAGTAAAATATTAAGGTAAGAAAACATAGCAACAACTGTGAACGAATGAGCAAGACTCAATAAATATAGATGTATTCATTAAAACAAGTAAATAAATAAATAAATCCTTTACCAAGAGGATAGATTTTAAGATGGAATGGAAGCATAATCCGTTTGCTCATAAATGCGTGATGATGTTGTAGGCGATCACCAGCTCTTGGAAATATTGGTAGCCAAACTCGCATGCCGTGTGCCCCACAATATAGCCAAAGGGCTTCAGTCAAGTGGGGCTTGTCTGCACGAAAAACAGACGGGGCCCAAGCATTTTCCACGCATGAAGCAAGTACCATGGGCGGCGAACAGGTGTATGTCTGGAAAGGAATCTTGTAAATAAATCTTCGGGAATAGACATATTTTTCGCAATCTTTATCTACTGTATACTACTACTGCAGTATACACTACAAATTAGTGGAAATAGTCACTATAGTTATAAGTTATCGATAGTGTTCTATTAGTGAAAAGCTCATATCCGATTTTTTTTCTCAAAAACGAGCTAACGTCAAATTATTGCCAAAAAGCCAAGAATACTTTTTTAAAACTTGAATCTTGGCTTGTTCGTTTCGGAGCATTATGATACTTTGCAACCGGCTGCAGATTCCTGTCTAAAGCAGCTTGATAGCAAGTAGTAGTTGTATCAGTTTTCACTTGCAACTAGTCATTTTTGTTTTCATAAAAGTTTATAATCAATAAATTTTATATATTTTTATACAAATGGATTTTATATTTTTATATACATAACTATTTTCCATACTGGTGACCCCTTCAAGTTTACTGCATATATCACGACACTATATATCACGAAATATATAATCGAATGCTAATCTCATAACAAAGAGAATGAACAAAAACTTTTCTTCTTAATTGCTGTCTTAGTGAGCATTAGAAATAGTTCTGATTGCTGAACTCTGAACTTACATAATTAGTACACAAAGTAAGATGCAATTTTTGTTTGTTTGTTTTATATATTTAAAAAGCGACCAAAACTACTTAATCCATGACTTTTTTCTATTGCACATCTCAGCCTATAGTCCAGTCATTTAAGCTTAATTTAGGTAAGAATCTCAGAATTCGAGATACCTAGCTAAAGTTGTCTCAAAACCTACATATGGTAGGGTGTCAATAGGGTGTCATGGGTATCTCGAATTCCGAGGTGAACTTACTATTATGACTGGACTATAGAATTTTTTGGAGAAGGCAACGCAGCCTTCAACCATAAGATTATATTCGAGATCTATAATCTCAAGAAAATATTGAGACCATACTTCTTGATATCAAGTTGGTTGGAATCAAACCTGGAACAAGCTGGTGCTAGTCCACGTTCTTAACCAATACACAGAAACGAACTCAAGACGCAAAATTCGAAAAAATACATGAATATTAACAACATTCAATAATTTTTTGTACAATAAAACCTCTTATGCCCTAATTTCTATCTCATTTCATATAAAATGCATAATAATTTTATCTTATCCTGTTACAATACTTATCCCGGAATTGAACTCTTAAGAAGTATACGGAAAAGAAAACAATCTGACAACATGTGATTTATTATAGAATGTACTATACTAGTAGATGTTTTGAAAATAATGTATTCAACATTTTACTTGTTCAATTTAACAATCGTTAGAAAAATCTCGGCAGGAAATATATTCATAAAGGTGTGAATCATCTCCAAATAGGATCTTAACTGACCATATAATAACACTTTTAAATGTTATAAAATTATTAAAATTCTTTATTAATCTCTTTATTTTTAATTTTCAATTTATTACGTAATAATATTCGTTAATATGCATTATCTCATAATTAGTTACTGTTTATAATCAAATGATAACCTTTTAACATTTTTTATCTCTAACTACAATCTAATTAATAAATGTCTCCTGGAGATAGATTGTATTTTATACGCTTTAGAAATGTTTGAATTTTATCTTTAAGTTGAATTCTTCCTTTTTTTCTAATCCATTGGGATTTTGAGCGATTTTCATTTTGCTAATCTAAGTGCGGTAAATATAAATATAGAGATAGAAATATCAAATTTTGATACAATCCCAGACACTATTTGCATATATTATATTAGCAGAAAATATATAAAGGAATAGAAAGTAAGTAGGTTTGCTTTTTTAACATTTTTCATATTCAGAATATAAAAACCTTATAAACACTATTGATACTCATTCTCTAACATGAGGTAGTAAGCATAGTACAAAAGTTAGGCGTGAAAAAAACTGTAATATTACATAATATTCATATTATCATTTTTGTTTATTTTTAACTTCCCGTAGAGTAAGTTATTGTAACCGTCCAAAAATCGAAATCGAAAATTTTTGCATTTCTCGACGTTTTGAAGTTTTCTGAACATTTTGGCATACCTCAGAAAAAATGGATGTGTGTGTGTATGTATGTATGGATACAATTTTTCGGTCACGTTTTCGGGCGCACGGATCAACCGATTTTAATGGTTCAGAAAACATTCGATTCCTATTGATAGGGAGATATGCTAATTAGTTTTTGGCAAAGGCAGGTCCAGCAGTTACGGAGATGAAGAGCAAAGAGTGCCATTTCGAAGATACAGAGCTAAATGTGCAAAAAATGGCAGTTTTTGAGAAACTAAGCGTCCGATTTAAATGATTCAAATAATTGTTTCAAATTTTTTTTTCTCATTTTTTTTCAGAAATTTTATCGAAAATAATTCAGATTTTATTTTTAATTTTGACTAAAGTCCTAATATACTTTAAACAAATAATTTCATCTTTGCAATTCAGTTCATATAATCCTTATAAATATTAAACAATGTTACAATATTTATAATAATCTATCTGAACACATTCAATATTCCTCGAGCATTTCGTTACGGTACGGGAAGTTCCAGCAATTTGCCTTAAGGCACGATGCCATACATCCCACTAGTTTATCTTTGTTTTATTTGCAAATTGACGAAAGATTGTACTATAAATTTTCATGAAAATGAGAAAGTGTGAAAAGCGATCCGGTCTGTGCTTCTATATTTGCATTTAAATATCGCAATAAAGTTAAAGCGGAAGGGAGCTCTATTTACTCTTTTATTTACATTTGTTAGAGATCGAAAAAGTAACGATGCAATTGTTTCAAATAACATGCATTAAATAATATATTTTATTTATTAGCATAATCATGCTTTGTATACATATACAATTAGAGTATAATTATATTAATGAACAAATTTATTCACCGCCAGATCTTCATAACACTGTTCAAAAAAATTATGTATACCGATAATATAAGTTCAGTCAAATGTAACTTTGTTTACTAGTTTTCTTGCAATGCATGTTTATATTTTTATAATTATACATTTATGAGTATAAAATGCGTGCTAAATATACACTTGAAGCATACAATCAAGTAGATTGAAGTGTAATGTTGGAAATTGTGTAATGTTTTACTTCTCTTTTTCAAAATAAAGAATCTTTATTAAATATATATTCACAAGCGAACGCAATGCATATTTAACTATATGCTATAGCATTAATTTTCATTGTGATGCAGAATGACATAAATGCTATAGCATTCAATTAATTTTATATGACCTTACGTTTTGGTAATTATTATACCTGCCCAGGTAAAGCCTAAGTGATTCTTTAGGTATTTTCGTATTATCTTATCTTTTCCCGTAGTCACTAATCAGCCTGGGCAAGCACATTGCATAAAATAGAAGCGTAATACTTAACGTGGATGCTATAGTATTCAGAGTATATAACGAATAAAATATGATCATCTTATCAAGGGTTTTTAATCAAATTTCGGCTATCACAATCAATTTTACTCTCAATGTTTGCACCTTGCTGAAACTTCTGTCCGCGAAATTGTTAAATGCATCAATCAATTATATCATTATTTTTTTCTTATCTGTTTTTAGGGTATTTATTAAATTATTTATTTTTCGATCATTGATCATTACATCAATGTCATTGCCAATAAATATAATGAACTTGAAGAAAATGAATGAAAATTATTGCATGCTATCGATTTGCGTTTTGCATTCATCCATACAACTGTGCCATTCACATTAATTAAAATAATAATTCATTGGCAAATGTGTCTTCATTCTAGAAAATAACTTTCATTAGGTAATATTTTGTTGCTTTTGATCTAAAACAATCATAAAATATAATTGCTACGTATTTGTGCACCATGAGCAATCAGTGGAACAAACTAAATAGTTGTATAATTAATTTAAAAGAGAAAGATTATAGGTCTTACAGATATAAATAAAAATAAAAATTCAAATTAATTATATGGATAAAAAGCTTTAATTCATATTTACCTTCCCGAAGGAAAAGTTTATGTTCAAGAAAAAATCTGGTAAATGGGTATGTGTAGCCATTTTTGACTTTTCGTCGATGTTTCTCAAAAACGACTGGGCCGATTACGTATGCGTTTAGTGGTGTTCCGTTAGGCAGCTACTGATTGCAGTTGACATAAATATGTTTGAAAGATCATCAATTGAAAATCGTATTGATTATTTTTTATTGAAAGCGAATATATATTTTCAAAATAACAATTGAACATTTTACTTAAATAGCTGAACTTCAATTCTTATTAATTACGTTGATTATGTATATGAATTGGGAAGTTCAAGCAATGTGCCTAAGGCAAAATCCTACTTGTAAATAGTTGCTTTAACTTTTTTTACTTGGTGTTATTGCCCACGTCAACAATTTTATAAATATACTAGCTGACCCGACAGACGTTGTTCTGTACCTACGTCTACAATTTTTCAATATTTTATACTAATATTTACTGCTTAGTTAAAAATAATAATTACTGTTTTTTGAATTACTATTTACACCAATATATAAGTGATGTTGAATGTAGAACTGTTTCAAATAAAATGATTGTTCTCAATTTCCACAGTTAACACTTTAATTATTTTATTTAACAAATATAAAAAATGTTCAATAAAATTGTATATTAAAAATTATACACTGCGATTTATAGAACAAATTTATTTCCAATAGCTCAATTTATTTTATTGCATTTAAGGGTTATATAGTATTTTTAGCCATACCTGTAGATGTGGATGTATAAATGAATGATTTTTTGTTTATTCACGACTAAAACATTGATTTTCCAAATTTATCACACTAAAAATGATCGTCTGCCTTTTTGATTTATGGTCATAGCATAAGATACTCATGTTGAAAATTTAAATCTTTTAAAAAGTACAACAAATTCAGAAAGAATTAATATATAGCATTCGCGGCAAAGGTGCAATATCACCTTTTATTTTTCTCACCCAAAATAATTGCTTCAATAATGTTGCCTATAATTT